AACCACTCACAGTACAAAAGCCTTGTTGAATGCATAAAGTCTGTAGGAGAAAGTTTGAAATTAATTGAACAGATATTGGAACAGAACAACTTCTTAGCTCTGATTATTGATCAGAGCTGATCAAATACTGGAAGTCAGACTTTTTCTATGCAGCAGCTCTTAGAAGGCTCACCATCTCCTGTCCAAGCTGCACACTGCCTGGCCAAACGCTGTTTCCGTTGGATGATTGGGTCAAACTTAAACTATCCGTCCTATTTCAGATAAAAATAAATAAAAATGTTCCTGTGTTGACTAGCCCTAAGAAATGGGAAGCTACCTGCTGCATCATTGGGGTTTGACAACTTGTTGCCAGCTGAAAGATAATCACTCATCCAGTTATCAATAAATTTGTATTTGCTTAGTTAAATCCAGGTGGATTTTTGGCAAGCCTGTGTACTTTGATGTTCTTTTTTTGGTCGAACAAAAATGTTACAAGTTATGAACATATGCCTTTTGACGCAAAGGAAGAACATTTTGTAATTCTTTTATGTTCTGTTTACATTATAGTTACTACCGCTAGCGAAGAACATAAAGCACATTTTTCTGTTACTCTTTAGTTGTGGAAAATGTCTATTTTAGCTGCAGAGACTTACTAGAATCACCTTGGCTGCTCTGTGTTGCTCTCCCAGTGCGCTCCCAGTTAGAAACAGCCTCATCAGTTGGGCGTTTCACAACAGAACCAGCAATGATGTGGCTGAGAAGGAGGAAGAGGATTGGGCTTGTCAACTCTGCACGCTCATCAACCAGCCAGAAGCCAGAGCCTGTGATGCATGCCTCACTCCAAAACCTGAGGGTGAGTGAACATTTTCTGTCTTTTTACTGTCCCATTATCTAATGGGGTGACAGAATAGCTTTGTTAACAAGCGATAAAATAAGAGCAAGTTTTCTTTTGCTGTGTAGCAGAATAATAACATGCAATTTGACAAGAATGCTTCAATGCTTTGAGAGGCAGTGGCGACCGGAGTCAACTGGGCGGACTCCTCTGTGATGAGAGCGGCCGTATGTTGCTCCACAAATAATGACCACGTCTGTCAGCTGGTCATTTTCCTCCAGCTGTCTTCAGACGCTCACGGCTGCACTGAACTTTTGCTCAGAAAGACGCGTCCTCGCTCTGTCGCCGCAGCAGCAGCCAAACTACAGCTGAATAGCTTCAACTCTTTGAGACCATGCTGCTCGATTTGGAATACATCAATTGTTGTTTTTTTAAGATCACAGCAGATTGAAGAGCTGAATAACATGAGTTCACAGCTGCTTTTTGTGGGGCTGCAGTTTCATTTTTACAGCTTTGAATTTAAGGGATTTTTTATTCAATCAGTGCCACAACAAATCCTCTTTGGTCCCATCTCATGAAGTGAATTTCTCACTTCTAAAGGAGGAGTGTACAAAAGAAACTGCACTTGTAATCATCAGGATTTTTACAATATTGCTCTGAGCTGTTTTAAAATAATAGACATGAGAAGCCAGACTTTAAAACAGCTTGTGTTTATGTAAAACCCCAACATTTTCCACTAGACATGAATGAGAATAATACATGAGACTGGTTGCATTTTTTTATGGACTCCTCTAAAATCTTTGAAGATAATAAACATATTTTGCTCCATACGAACCTGACTGAGCGCTGGGAACCGGAGAGTTATTTGTGTGAAGGTACTCCAAGGTCTTAAACAGATTTTAAAGCTGCTAAAATGTCACATCTCATTACATGAACAATGTTTATAACAGTAACGTTGTGGCCACAGGTTTTCATGCAGGTTAGGGACCACAACCACCTGCGAATAACTCAAATCTGAAATACTTGAGACTTCCTATAAAAACATGAATTACTGCATATTTAGTAGTTCAAACATAAATATTGCTCAATGTGCTTTAAAACTCAATAGAAACCAGCTTCTAGTACAGAAGCTAACATCAAAGGTCTTCTTTATCTCCACTCCTTTGGGTTCAGCCAATCAATGCCAAAGACAAATGAATGGTGCAGCTGGATCACCTGCTTTTTTAGCCAATACTGTGTCAAAGAGCATCCAGGCATTTCAGTTTCCCAAACTGCACTTTCTTTCAAATATTTTAAACTTCTATGGAAAAAACTGGAAATAGGCAAATTCTCTTCAAATAAATTGTAGTTATGTTCCACAGACAAATCTGCGAATTTAAAAAATGCAAATTACTGGAAATCCACTGTGTAGTTGGCAAGCTACAAATCTGTTACTATAGTTTCTGTTAAATTTTTCAATTTAAATTTTTAAAAAAGGTGAACATTTCTTATTTGTATATTATTTTTTATTTATTTTGTTGTTTTATTTACTTATAAAATAATATCCAAGCATAGGTGAAACAGAAGATGGCAGCAACATCCACTCAGATAGATTTTTTAATTTTTTTATTTTATCAAAGTTGGGTGTAAATATGTTGCTGCAGCTTCACATTGCTCAACAAAGTATGCCATTGAAAGATCATCAAGATAATTTTTCTCCTGATTTTTTATTTTATGAATGCAATTATTAACCATCTGTATGGTCCTCACAATACAGCGTAAATATTCCAACCAGTCTTATCAAAGTGCTGCCTTTTTCCCATCCCAACAAGCACAGTGTATTTTTGGGGGGGTATGGTTTTATCTTGGCTTGACAGCATAAAACTGGCAGTAATATTGACTCTGATTAAATGATTTTTTTGTGCAAAGTCTTTAAAATCCTACTTTGTGTGCATCAACACATACAGGCTTATGCATAAAAATAAAAATTCTGTTTTGAAGGTTTTTGAGGAACAGAATCAATAAATATTCTGCTTGTTCTTTTTGACTCAGAGTTCATTGTTTATTAGGAGCAGGTAGATTTTCAAATCTTTGGCTCAATTTCTGCATCTCTGTATATTATGGTACTTTTATTCAAAAACAGAGCATGGCAGTCGTGCTGCTTGCTGTTAAATTTTATGGTAACCACTTTAAACTAACAACAAGCTGGATTTTAGTGAGAGCAGCCAGTGCATCAGAATGAGCTGCAGCTGCTGAACATAAATTGAGTTTCTTACTCTGGCTCCATCTCCACAGTTCACAAAGACGACATTAGCACTGAAGCATCGCCCTTCACTGCTGATTTAATTAAATACCCCTGCAACGCCTTCAGGAAGCCGCGAGAGGAGCTCAAAGTCAACTGGACGTCTGCGTTCGGGACTTCCACCCTCGTTTTCTCCGACATGACTGAGAAGCCAAAGCCTGTAAAGTCCCCGCTCTCCCCAGCCGGCAGTCATTTGAATTCCTTGGCGGCAGAACGAGGTTTGTATAAAAACAGCTTCTGCCAAGGGACAACAAGCGCCAATTATGCCTCTGGTGGCTGGCAGAAGCAAAGTGCAGAGCTCTCCAAGGGGGAATCACTGGCCTCCTACAGTCACCCTTCCAAGAAAATGAGAATTGATCACAGCCTCCTTCCCAGTAACAAACCTCCAAATGGAACCCCCAACTCAGGGTGAGCGAACCTCTTCCTTGGCCAAATAATGAACAACTTTATAATAAGATAAGTTTTTTTTTTCTTTTTTGTTTGCAAGTTCAGGCAGATGAGTTAGGAAAAAGATTCTTTGCAACGTTGTTAAAAAAATGTTCAAAAATGTATTGCCATGGCACTGCAGCGGCCATATACAATAATTGCCAACAAACATTGTTACATGCGGCTGAAAAGATGGCCCTCGCTTGCTAATAAGTGTTGATGTGACAGGCATTTCCTGTGTTTCATCCGCAACATATTTCACAATAATAAGACTGTTTCTTCTTCTGTCAGTGTGTGCAGAACAGAGGCAGCAAACACTGCAGCCTCCATTCCTCCCAGTGCCCCTTGTTGCTCATCCCATCGTCGTCCCACCGTCCTCAGAGTGGTCCACAAGGAGGGTGAGAATAAAGGACGACAGTTTTATTCCTGCTCCCTGCCAAGAGAGAACAAGTGCAACTTCTTTCAGGTGACACTGAAAGCCAACTTCTTTTTGTTGGGTTTTCTTTCAACTTGTCCACAATAGAAGTTTAAAACTAAAGAAACAACTTTTCTCCCCCCTTCCGCTGTTGCAGTGGGCTGATTTGCACTTTCCTTTTTGTCACCATGGGAAACGCTGTTTAATGAGGACGGTTCTGAAGCTGGGTCCAAACAATGGCAGGAATTTCTTCACCTGCAGCTTTCAAAAGGGTAAACAATGCGACTTTTTCCAGTGGACCGAGAACAGGCCAGGACTTTCCATCCTCCCTGGCTGCTAACTCATCAAAGCCTCACAGGTGCATCTCAATACATTAGAAAGATCATAGAAAAACTCTATTTCAGTCACTGAAATCAAAATGTGAAACTAAGATATTACATACATATAAGGCGATATATTACTGGTTATTTACAGTTTTTCAAACTGTCAAAAAGAGACTCCAGGAACTCTGCATCTCCAGACTGAAATGCAAAACTTACTTTGTTCTACATGAAAGACCCTGAAACCAGTTCAGTCTTTCAGATGTAATGATTTTTCTGGTTCGTAACACAGTTCAGTTCTTGCTCATGTCATGGATTCGTCTGTGTGACTTCAGTCACAGTCTATGTTTTCTTTAAAAACCTGCACTCTCTCCCTAATAATTGCACACCTTTTACTACCACACTTTTTCCTTCCCCTAAACTTTCAATTTCATTAGTATTCTTGAATCCTGTAGTCCTGACAGTCAGCTACTTTTGGAGCAGCATTTTGTTGGTTGCCCTCCTTGTGCAGAGTGTCGGTGACTTCTTTGTAAATAATTCTCAACAAAAAATATAAAATTACTTTTACAGGTGTGATGCAACATTGAAGTATATATACATACAAAAAACAAGGTAAAACATTTTGAATGACTCTATAATAATTAGTTTCTTTGTGGTGTGAATTTGAAATTAATAAAACTTTTGATGAGGACACCTGATTATAATCCATCCTCAGATTATGACCCAATAAAAAATAATATATTTCCATTTATTTTGTAATGTTTTATTGGTGTGATTTTATACTTGTTTTATCAAAAGAAATGATCAGAATAAAAATTCACCTTGTAATCCAGAGATAATGTGACTGAGTTTGTTTAAAAGCAAGGCACAGATTTTAGGACTGCTGTGTCTGACTCGGAGTCGGCCACCATGTAGTGGAACTGTGTGAGGCTGGGGACCTTATTACACGCTGCACCTGAGAAAACATAAACACACCTGTTAGACAGAAACACTTCTTCTTCATTATCACTAAAACAACGTGATTTCATTTATTTTTTCCTACATTCCTGTTTAATGCATGTTGAGACCTTTCTCTACCTCCGTTTAAGATACATATTAATCCTGCTGCTTCTTTCCTATTATTGTGACTAAACTGTAAATATCAGGGAAAATGTGTTATTTGGAGCTGAAAGAGGATTAAGACCTGCGTTAAAGAAGGAAAGCCAAAAGATGTGTGGGTTTCAAAGTTTGCCACTGTTGCCATGAGAACAAAATTTTGAGGGCTGGACCGATTTGGGGGAGCTCCAGGAGGAACAATGGATGACAAACCTAAAAGCAGAAGATACTTTGATGTGTGTCTCAGATCCAGTAACCTTTAGAGAAAACATAAATCGATGTAACTAATGCAGAACCTCTGTTTAAAAAAAAAGTATTTTTCTAAAACATCAAACAGAAAATTCACCCATCAGTTGTACCATTATAATCCTAAGCACATAATGTGAACACTGCTTACAAAGCAATGTTTTGCTCCAGTATTCACATTAATGTCTTTGAAAAATATGGATTCAGATTCAGGTTTTAATATCTTGAGATCTGTGTGATGTTCTCATCAGAAATCGGTAATGAAAAAAAAAGTTTTTTTTTTTTTTTTTTAAATAATAATATACAAGGAACTTTATTTTGTTTTCAGAACTGATGTGTTGAAATTTAGGTTTGGTATTCTGTTTTATTTTGTATTATTTTTTCTTTGTTTAAAGTAAAAACAAAATCTGTAGAATAAAGATAAATCAGTTCTTTCACTTGCGGACAAAAAGGCACCTAATTGGAAAAAGTGAGTGAGTCATATGTAATTAAAATCTGATCACACTATTTTGTAGTTCTGTTGCAGTAATAATTTAAAAAGTATTGATTACTTCTTTGCATAGTTTTTTTTTTTTTTAGGTAACTGCAGTAATTATAACCCCACAAACATATTTATCTTAAATAACACTCAATTGAAACAGGCTTCACTAAGTGCATTTAATAATATTTGTTAATGTATTAATGTTTTCATGACAATGAAGAAAATGGTAAAATAATTCACATTAAAAATTTTATGTAAACTCATAAGAAATCAAAATTTGTCAAGTATTTTCACAGTTATGATAAATCCCCACTCATAACCAGAAGTCGCTTTTTCTTCTGTACATCGCAGTGTTCAGATGAGGATTGTTAAAAATGTTTTGTTTTTTATGGATCTCAGTCTCCGCCCAATGGGCAGCGACTTCACTTTCCTCATCCACATTATGGTGCCAGAAACTGGCCGATTTATTTCCTTTTTCTTGGTGATTTTATGTTTTCATCATTAAAAAACTCTGTACATCTGCTAATTTTTAATGGCCACAAAATAGAAAGAGAGGGTGTCACAATTTAACAGATTAGCTCTTGGATCTAATGTTCTTATGCTGGCATTGGCGCCATATCTCCAACTACCTTTGGATCGTTCCAAATAGACTTTGTTCAATTTTATACTAGTTCTGAATGGTGACCAAAAAAATAAAATAAAGAAAAGATACTTTCCAAATCAAAATCTGTAGATCAGACTTGTAATGGTTCAAAGCTTGAGTTGGTGTCTGCAGGCAAATATGTAGGAATCCTGATTGTTGACTGGTTCATATCTCACATCACACAGCTGTTAAAAAACTAAAGCTAAAACGTTCCTTCCTTTTGAAGACTTTTATATCTCCACTCGATTCAGGTGGAAATATACATTTTACTCAGTTTTCCCAGGAGCTTTGAAATTCATAAAAAACTTTTAACCTTTTATTCACAATATCATGTTGCAGTCTAGAGTTGGATATATTCTCATTTACAGTTATTCTGGTGTTTACCTTCATGTATAACATTCTGCATCAAGCAAAACCACACAGAATTACCAATTTTGTTCACATAACCTGTTTTTATCATCTGTGCCTGGAGCTTGCACTGCAGTTGGGGAAATGTGTTAAAAAGAGTAACGTAAAGTCAGAGGATGCAAGTATAAGTGGAAAATCAGTTTGACACTTCACTGTAAATCAGTTTTCTTTATAAATCAGAAGTTTTTATGGTCAATGAAGCAGGCAGTCTTTATATCGCTTAGCATGTTTCATTCAAAATGTACCTGAAGTTCCACAATCTCATGAATATAGTTTATAAACTTGACATTGAATCTTTCTCATCAGCCAGTGAAAATTCTTAGGGTGAGGCAGAAGGCAGCGCTGATAGGGGGCAGTGTTGAGCTCAAAAGGCAAAATGAGCAGCAATGGCTTTTCTTTTATGTACTGAAAGACTTGAGAAGAATCAGAAAAATACAGTGGGAAGCAGAATTATTTGAAAACCTGAAGGCAAGCAAGGAAGATTTTCCAACAGATGAGGGAGAAATTTGTGGAGAGGACCTTACATACAAAAAAAGGGGAGATCAAGCAAAAAAATATGTAAATTTTGAGCTTAGATAGACTTTATTTAAGCTATCATTTTGTTGAACAGCATGGAATCAATGAAAGCATAACGAAATGTTTCAACTGAGGTCGAAATTGGAATCTAAGCTTCAGTTTTGGGTTTTATTTAATTTGTGCGTTTGATTCCAGAGGAATCGTTGCGTCACAGGTCATGAACCTCACTGCATGTCACTGGATCAAACATTCCTGTCAAACAAAGACGAATATCTGTCTGTTGTCAAGTGCTTTTCTTTCTCTTTGTTTGTTTTTAGAGGTGGAGGGGTGAATTTATAAATTAAACTGCAGAAAAAAAGAGCAATGTTTATATCAGGCTGCTATTCCTTTAAAAATGTTCTGGCTCTTGTCTAAAAATAAATGGAAAAGATGTCAATATCCAACCATGGGAAGGAACTTTTTAGGCTTCATTTATGCAGGATTGTCTTGTGAAAAAAGTTGTATATTAACATCATAGCACTATTAGGTGAAAATCAATCCATTATGTTTAGTCTCCCACCCCCGCCTTCATCCCAGCGGGTATGCGTCATTACCTTTGGAAAAAGAGTCCATTTGTGAACCCATACACTCACCATAATGGCCTGTTGTGTTAGCGCAGATTATGGCTCCAAAGAAGTCTGAGTAATGCCTCTTGATTCTGGAGATGGCCGACTTGCAGGCTGCTGAGGGATCGGCCCCGTTCCTCATCAGCTCCACAGCCAAGTAGCTGTTGGCAGCAGAACATGGAGAAGACATGAGCAAAGCTAACAAGGCTGCAGAGGGTCACAGACCAGGATCGTGCTAAAGATGCCTTCAGAATAATAATGTGATCTGGAAATGAGCACCGAAAATAAACATCAACAATCAGTGAGTTTTCTCTCCTTTTAAGTTATGTTTGCTGGACAGTTAAATACCAATGTTGTTAACCTTGGTATTCAAAGGCCAAAGTGATAAAACAAAGAGTTTCATTTCATTACATTAGACAAAAACAAAAAAAAACACCACTGATGAAACGCTTACAATGTCCCCTTACAAATTACATTACTTCTGTTTTTGTCACTTTTAAATGTTTCAAATGAAAGTATTGGTATAAAACAAAGAGAATCCATGTAACTTCAAAACACTGTTTTAAAAAGATTATTTTATTACTCAAATAACAAATTAACTAAGTTAACTTAACTGAAAATAGAAATTGCTCACCAGAAAATTCTCATTATAGAGGGACAGAAAAGAAGAAAGATTTGGAAGTGGCCTAGTCTAAGTCTAGGCTTAAATTCAATTGAGAAGATGTAGAACAACTTTAAACACGTTATTCATTTTAAAAATGCTCCAATGTGACTGAAGTTTTCTGCTAACAGCGTGGGCCAGAATTTCTCCAGAGATGTAAAAGACAGGGCGGCAATTACTTTCTCACATGGTTGGTTTGGATAGTTTTCTTCTTTTTAATAAGATAATGTTAAAAATAATTTGTTTTGGTCCAGTTATTTTTGTCTTTGAATTTGTTTGAGCTGAAAATATTAAAGTGAAACAACAAGGCTTTTTCAAAGTGCTATTTATAAATCCTGCTCCCTTGTGAATCCTTCTGAACATACATCAAGATGTCATTTGTTACATGTTAGATACCAGGAAAGCAGGCTTTTCTTCTGTTAAAATAGTGCATTATGTCATTAACGTCTAAAACTAGAGGCTGTTTCTCCTCGGTATACACATCAAAGATGGTTATAAAAATATGGATAATGGTTAGGAGGTTGGCCTCCAATCACACCATTAGGAGGAGAAATGTGGGCTTACATAAACACATCTCAGTCTGTTGATAAGCAGCTACTCCAGCAGGTAGATGGAAAAAAAAAACATTTAAACAGGCAGCCCTCAGATGTGTTCACCAAACTGGGCTGAGATAAAAGCTATAGCATAAAGAAATAAAAAAAGGTAAAATCTCACTTCTGTTCAGAAATGTGCCGATGACAGTTTTGGGGCAACGTAGCCATGCCTCTTTTTTTCTTCTCGTTCTATTTATGTGTCTGGTGTTCGAGGGGTGACACTAGCAGCTGAGGGCTTAAAACCAACACATCACAAATCAAAGCATCTTTTGCTGCTGAGGTGAAGCAAACAGAAAACTACATTACAGTTGTTTTTAACGGTTGAAGAATAAAAATCAAACTTCAGAACCATGAGATGGATCCAGCCATCATGATCAAGACAGATCAGCTGTGTGTAAATTTAAATAGCTGGAAACCACCTGAAAACACAGCAAAAAGACTGTTTATACGCTAAAGATGCACCTCTCTTCTTCCCTATATTAAAAGACTTTGGACTTTCAAGTCAACTATAATATAAATCGATAAATTACTGACAAAGGTATTCATACCCCTTTTTTATCTTATTTTATGCAGTACACCAACACACATTAATACTCGGTTTTGAAGTGGAAGAGATATTTTGCGAATAAAAAACAGAAACGTGGTTTGAATTTGTATTCAATGTATTTTGATCTAATACTGTTAAAATGTGGAAGAAAATTAACAATAATACCTTCAATTCATTAGACACTTTTCTTATCCCAAGGGAAAATTAAGTGTTATATCTTCAAAGACTTGTTGGGACGGTGATGCTGTGCGCTGAATTGATTCTCTGTAGCACTTCGTCTTGCAACTAATCTGAAGGGCCTCTGACTGAAGACTCTGAAGAGGCATGACATGATAACAGCTCAACATGCAGCAGAGATGATATTCCACAGTAACACAACCCAATCAGTCGTAGACAAGTTCTGCTAAGCCGCCACATTTGCTTTTGTTGCTCATCTTTAAATCTCTGTCTGGCTCTACAGTTAGAGCGCTGGGCAGAAAAACGAAGTCAGGGTTATGATGTTTATCCATTAAGATCGATAGAAGAGATGGTTTGATCTTTTATAAGTTTAATAGCTGCATACTATCCTAAACCAAAGGGAATCATTTTCCAAATATTGAAAAGCATAAAAAATATATATTGTACATAAATTGAGAAAAATAACAAAGCAAACTTAACATTGCAGAGCTACTCCAACATACTGACACCATGAGCGACGCAGTTCTACAATTCTGATCACACCGACCTCAAAGGTCAACACGGTGGTGGCAGCATCTTGCTGTGGTTATTCTTTTATCCAAAAAATCTGTTTACAGGTGAAAAGAACTTGAAACTGCAATGGATATCCACAGTTTAACATGAACAGAGAGGTTCAGATCAAGGCATGCTTTTATGCTAGAATGGCCCAGTCAAAGTCCATAAAAGAAACCATCTGGAAACATGTGCAAAGCTGACAGACATACCCCATAAGTGTTCTCAAGTATCGACTCAGGGCTGAATTCAGAGGTGGGAAACATGAAAGGTCTGATCATGTTTGCACAGCCTGACTGTGTCTGTGATGCCATCCTCATGTTTTATCACTGGGAAACAGAAAAAAAATCACCTGGGCAGAAAACGCATCATGATGTCTCCGTCTCCAGTGGCGGCGGCAGCACCAGCTGCGCTGTCTGCGTAGGCTCCTGCTCCGATGATGGGGGAGTCTCCAACGCGGCTGCAGCACATCAGATAGTACCAACATTTAAACATTAACAAGTTCTACACAACAAAATACACACAAAACTGGATGTTTAGTTCTCACTTGTTACAATCCAACATTTATTTGTTTCCAGAACTTAACATTTTCAGAAATAAACACTTGACCTAGTTAAAGTATTGTCAGTTAGTGCAATCAGCTTTTCAGTAGATATTATTCTGTGTCCACATCATCCTAAAGCTTTTATAACTGATGCAAACAAATATTTGTTCATTTCATACTGAGAAGCATCTTGTTTCTATTGATTTTGTCAGATTCTAAAAGACTCATCTACCTGTATGAAAACTTAAGTTCTAAGGAAATATTTCATGCTTGATTTATGCAGTCCACTACAAAGATAAAATATAATGTTAACTATAGTTTTATTAGTTTGCAATTGAAGGGAAAATGTTTTTGAAGGAAGATTTTATATTCAAAAACAGCCTGTTTTGACTTCCCCAAAGTGGTGTGTTCAGCAGCATGTTTTTACAGCAGATCAGAGGAATGAACCAAACATGCCTTTAAAAGAACAACTTCACTCATTTCCAGAAGGTTGCCAGATACTTAAAAGTTTATGCAGAATCCTTCAAACTAATTATTTAGCTTCAATGCACATAAAAAGGAAGATATTGACATAAGTTGCACGAATGGTAAATGTAAACATGGGCCTTGAAAGGTTTGAGAAACATTCAGAACTAAGTAATTATGTGAAGTGTTTGCATCTGAAATTCAGCCATTGAAATATTCAAGATTAGACTGATTTCAGATACAGTTACCTTAAAAATGTCAAATTAATAAACTGCTGTTTACCATCACTTCTACTGCCTTCACAGCAATACGGAGGAGGATTAAGTCAAATGATTTCAGATTTCAATACTACATTGTGGAAATCTGAGAACAAAAGTCAAGATATTAGTCCATATCGCCCAGCTCTACATTACAATAAGTACATCTATTGCACTTATTGAAGCTCTTTGGAAGAAACTCCATCTCTAATTTTTGCTCTTGCTCTTTACCTGATGAAATCAAATGTTATCACTTATTAAAATTTCAGCACCTGTTGACAAAGTAAACAGGTGCTGATTGTGTTTATTGCCAAGCACTGAGTGATGAATTTGCTTTTGTTTGTTCATAATATCTTCGAGCTCAAAATTCAAACTTGCTTCATTTTTCCTGTTCAAAAACTGAGCAGTAATCAGACAGTAAAAGTCTGCAGGCATGATTTTAAAATTCTCACTGCGGCTCCCTGCAAATAAATACAGAGCTGGGCAAACACACATTTCTCAGTATTTAGCATGAGAGGAGCCAGACTCTCTGACAGGCAGGAAAGTATTTTTCTTCACCAACATGGTCATCTCCAAACAGCTATTAGGCGAAACTCGGAATCCAATTCATAAACATTCCTGAGACATGATCAATTGCTAGAAAAAAACACTCTGTCACCCCGAGAAGCATTATCCATTTCAGATCAATGTTGTAAGAAAGTTTACAATGATTTTACAGGAAGGCCAAGAGAGGTTTAAAGATCGGTAGTTTCCATTAGGTTTAGTGTGAGTCTGTGTCTATAGAAGAGATTAAAAAGGAAAAAACAGCCCATATGGAAGAAAATATACTCAGAACATTGAAATTTTAGAACATCAGTGAAATAAAATCTACACACCCTGGAACCTTGTGTGATAGTCCATTAGTTGATGTTCCAGCAGCCGTGTGACCATCTTTATCCATGGCAATCATCCCTGGTGCAAAGAAAAAAGCAAAATGCAAGTTGATTCAGTTTATTTGTAAAGAACCAGTTCACAGAATAAAGTTATTTCAATTCAATCACACATACATTCCAACTGATAAACAAACAATACATAATTAGTAATTATTCAAAAGTTTACATCTAAAGAAACCCAGCAGATTGCATCAAGTCATATACTTGTAGCATATATTAAACTTGTAGTTTAATTAATATTAAGTTTTATCATGAAACAGATTCTGTTTGCTGAGTCGTGGTTCCCTGAATACATACTTAGAGGAAAAGAGATAATGAGCATTCCTTCATATCTGAATCGATGCAAAACACAAGAATTCAACCGGAGAAAGTAGAAAGCTGAGTCCAGGGCTCAGCAACACCTACCTATGGTGTCATGGGAGTGTATATTAACCTGCCGCTCTCCATTACACTGTGTCTGCGCTGCTTTTGGTCCGTAAGGTCCACACGACGTTGACGGATCTGGACTGACGTTCTGTTGACAGATGATGAACAGAGATAATTTCTTCCATCATGTTTTTCGTCCTGGGACTGATTCACCACAGCAAAACACGACTGAAGTACCCCAAATTTTAAGCAGTTAAAAAAATATAAAAAATCAGCAGATTTTCAGTGGAAATGGTTTTGGAGCTCAAATGTAATTTTAGCTGTCAGGTCTAAAAACTGACGACTACAAGAAAAAAGCCATAAGTGAGGCACCTCCATGTTCATTCAGAGTGGCTTTAGGTATCATTTCAGCTGTGATTACCTGAGAGCTTGGAGTGGCAGTTTAAGCTGCAGAGTAGTGTGATCAGTTTTTCTACCCAGTTAAAGTAGAAGTTTTATTCTGATAAAAATTAAAGAGCATCCACGTTTAATATCAATAAAAAACAAGTTTTGTTAAACTTCCTTCTAAAAAAGGTCAAACTTTTGCATCATTCTTTTGAGATTCAAGTGGCTCCTTTATTGATATGATAAGAATTATCATGTTATATTGTAATATTAGTATTCTAGTACCTCTGTTGGACAACGTCGACCACGCTGTGTATGAAGGTGAAGCAGAACTGAAGACCTCCTTCAGTGCATCCTATCTACACAAAAGCGTTTTTACAGATCCCTCTTTCCAGCTATTAGACTTTATATCCATCACTGATCCCAACAAACTTTACATTTACAACTTTACTTTACATTTACCACCAAAAATGTTTTAAGAATGTGTGGTTTGCTTTTCTATTCAACCACATTTGGCTGCAATTCCAGCTGCAGTCTTTAAGGTACTGCTGTGCAGACATCTTCTTTTTCCAAATAACTTCAGTCAGACTGGAAGGAGATAATCTGAACCCAATCTGCAATCTGTACTTAATTGGTTTATTGCTGCTCAGAAAGTGGTTTAGGAATGACAGAATTGTGAAAGTGATGTTTCCATCTGAAAATCAAACTGACAAGCAGAGTTGTGATGAACATCTGTTTCTCTGGCTTCAGCTCAAATACTGCCCATCTTAGCTGATTCGTAAAACAAACCAAGAAACAAACTAAACTTTTGCAAGATTGATATTCTTAACAGCTGTACAAATAATTCATCAGAAGCACAAATTGACCGACAGAAGTTATTAAAAAGAACCAAAAGCTTCAGTGTCTCCTCTCTCTTGTTTGAGTCCATTTTCTGAAAAGCTGTTTTCAGATGTATAAAAGAACCACAATGTAACAAATGAAGACTTTAAACCCAGCAGATAGTCTTTTCCTACTCCACAACCTGAGCTGCTCCTCTTCTTTAGGATGTATTCCCTGTTTGGATTTGCCATATTAAAAAAAAATATGCATATTTTCTCCCATAATTTTATACTGAAGATTCCTTTTTAGTTGAGCAAATCATGTTGCTTTAAAAACTGAGGTTTTCGCTCTGTCTTCTTTTCCATAGATTTTAGATTGCTATGGATCATGACTTTGACTAGGCCATTCTAACATATGAAAGTACTTCCAACTAAACCTCTCCATTCATAGATATAAAGACTAATTATTTTAGAGTTATTGATTCATTAGTTACATTTCAACCCAACTTCCAACATTCCCATCCACTCATTCTGAGGTTTTCTGCACTGCAGATATTTCCAATAATAGCTCCAGGAACTTCAGAGCCATAAGTTCAGCTCCTAAAAGTATGAATAGAGAAAATGTGATCAATGGAACAGTGGATGATCTCTGGATACATAATGCCTCCCTGATTCTATAGATGTTGTGACATTGTTGTGGAAATGAAGAGGAGTCTTTTGAAGAGAAGCAACAGCTCATTGCTGTAGGGCATCACCTTTACCACAAAAGCTGACTTTTTTTTTTCTGAGGTACTTTAGTATGCCTGTCAATTTTCCCTTTTGAAATCAATCTTTTGGAAGCAGTGCGCCCGTGGCAGATACAAGCGAGGAAAGAAACAGCCTCACACACATGCACTTACCTTTCGATAATTAGGTTGGCAGTTGCCCTTCAGCCACTGTGAGAAAACATTCAAAGATTCGTTGGTAGTCAGGTCTTCTGCAACAAAGCCCATGTTTTCAGCAAACACAGAGGCTACGAAGAGAGAGGAAACACTTGGGTCAAGTTGCACATAGGAGACCACTTTGACCTCAGGTTAGGATTTAAAAAAGGTTCACAGACAAAGAAGGGACTGCGAGCAATTTTAATTCATTTCAGCATCAGTTTATCTGGTTTTAAAAGAGCTGCCGCTTTCAAAGGTTTCCATCATTCAACTTTGGGAGGAATGGCGTAGCAATTATGATGAATTGGTCATCAGAAGGATATCATGACATACAACAGAAATGATTGAATCTCCCAGATATAATCATGTCCATAATAAGAGTTAGTAAAGCTCCATATAAAGCTGTACAGACATTGAGAACAAAGTTGTTCATGAAGAAAAGTGTTCTGAAGGAAAAGGAATAATAGGTTGTTTAAAAAATTGCATCTGCAATTTTCTTTGCAAACTCAAACACTTCCTGTATAAACTTAAAAATGCTTGAGATTGAGTTTTTCTGTGAATCCCTTACATAAGCACTGCTTTTGATAACTTTCGTATCTGGACTGCATGGAGTCGAACAACTAGACTACAGTCCACAGGTTCTTATGATCTCTTGGTTTTACCTCAAACTGAATGTTTAATATCTCCACAGAGTCATTTTGTCAACAATGGGACTTTGCAGGGATTTTCCTGATTGTCTTTTGATTGCTGCAGAGCTTTCAGGTAACTGCAGAAACCTGCAGCCGTCTCCAGTCACCCTACAGCTGGTTGTTGGGCTCAGGCTTTTTATTATTATGATAAACTTGATTGATTGATCACCAGTTTCATTCCACATGTGTACTTTTTTATTTCTTCATGTGGGTTTTAAAAACATCTGAAATTTCATCTAAATTTAAACATTCAAAACATATTTCCAGTTAAAAACATTGAGATGTTTGGCACTTATTTTTCCTGCTGCTAGTAAGCTGATTTGTGATGTTTCACTGCTAACATTTTGAACAGAACTGTTCATCATGCTCGGTAAAAAGCTTCAGTTCCTGTTCATCCTTCTCTCCTCGTCCACAGCATAAAGCAGCTCTTGAACAGTTTTTTTTTTTTTTTTTTTTTGTACTACCGGTGCGCAATTATACTCTTCAGGCTCCGGGGACCATATGACCCATGTGTTTTTCACTTACTCCTAATGATTGTCATTTCATTTAAAAGCCTATGCTGTGTCTAAAAGGTTTGGGTTCTAATTGAGATCATTAATGCAGATTCAAGCGTCCTCAGACGCTGAAAGCGGTTCCTTTTAGACTCTATAGAATTATACTGAAACAGGCTGTTATGTTAGAAATGCAATTTACATTCTGTGTGTTGTTCAAATAAATGAGTCCATTATTCCTGGTTGTATCACCCAGGGTGCATGAACAGCAATCCCTACATACCTGACTCTCCCACTAGCATCGTATGTTCAGTGCGCTCCATCACGGCTCTGGCGACTCCAATAGCATTTTTGATTCTTCTCAGGTCTGCCACCGCTCCCACCTCCATCGAGTTACTACTCAGAAAGCACACGCAGACAGAAAGCATTCCTGTTGGTTGACTGCAGCCAAATACCATCTGTGAGCAATATATCTCCATTACAAATCAGTGTTGGGTAAGATTACAGAGATCATATCTAACAAAAAAAAAACTGCTTGAATCTCAAGAGTGTGCATAGTTTTTTTTCTTACAGATATAGTATTAATCTGTTGACTGCTCTACTGGATCATCAGGCAGGTGTTTGTCGAGATTCCTGCTCTTATGCAGGAATGTACAATGTGTCTGCTGGTGTTTATTAAATTTCTTCTCCATGAATATTGAATCGTGTAAAGGAAAACATCCCTGCACAATGCAGTCATAACTGAGAAACAAAAAAGGGTAAAATTTCAGGGGGCATTCACTAGAGAAAGAGTAAACAGCTTGCTACTTTTCTTTTGTTGTAAGCTGACATTTACTTCTCATTATAACTTCTGAGACTGTAAATGTTAGTATTTAAGCACCTAATAACTGGAACGCTTTCAGATCATAATGAGACTCTTAATTAGTACGTCTCTGCAGAAGGCTTGAAGGAAAGGTCAGCCAGTTAAGTGTGGAAATGTTAAAGATACATAAAAATAAGCAGCACAAATTGTAAAATAAGTAAATACATAAAAAGGAATATGTTGACAGCCGCATGTGACTGATTAGCATTTTTAAGATGTGAATCATGTAAACATACATTCTAATTTTAAACCTCTTCACATATTTTTTTCTGTCAATTAAAATATATTTCATGCTCACATCAGATAGTGTTGAAGCTTTATGACTTAAAACAAGCTGATTTGAGCTGATTTTGTTTCCAGTGGCTTCACATGATGTGCAAATGGCAGCTAGTTATAAATAATAACCATATAAGAGAAAAACATTTCCTGCTTTTAATGCCGACTTCACTTGTAACTGTGTCTGTTTTCTAAATCATTATACTGTATAAATTCTAATTCTTTCTTTGTGTAGAAGCATGGTGTCTGCCCATTACCCGTTCATGATCATGGCATCCAGTGTGGTTTCTCCAGTCTCGTCAGGGCTGCCGCCAAAGCCCACAGTGCCGTCACATTGGTCAACTTCGCAGCGAGCGCAGCCTTTCTCCACAGCGTCCAACACGGAGCCGCCCGACTGCAGAGCATGCCATGCTTCACAGGAAGACAACCAATCAGGATGCAGGGTCAAAAATATGTTTAAGAGAACACAAACAGTATGAGAATAATACTCTGGAGGTCAAAAAAGAAGATAAAAGTTAACCAACCAGCATTAAAATGAAATATTATAAACCACTGGAAAGTAGCTGATTTTAGATCAATAATAGAAAATATTTGTTGTTTTTGGAATATAAAATAATTTTACAATCACAAACTCTGGTGTATTTCAGACCAAGTTGAAAATAATAAGAAGAAAAAACTTCAACTTCCCATGCTTGTTTAGCTTTCCTGTACCTGATAATGAAAAGTGATCCCACAGAATGATGGTGCCACCTCTGTGTCTGGTGGTGGGGATGGTGCAGGTGTAAGGTTTCCTTTCTCTGCCTCTCAGGTCCTCTGAGCAGAACATTTTCTTCTGACCCCTTTGCAACTGATTCTTCTCACTCAATTTGCTCACCTGAGGTGGCAGATCTCTGCAGCTCCTTGTCTTAGCATTTGCTAATTCTTCCAATTTTGTCTGCAGACTACACAGTTCTTCATGAAAAGCTCAAAGCTGGAAGAATTGTTTTATAACCTTTCAAAATGGATCCATGAATTGGTTGCACAGGCATTTATTTATGGGTTTCAGAGCAATGGGGTGTTGAACAGAGATGTCCAGACTTTAGACTATAATTTGTAAAAACAAAGGAAGATTATTTATAATTTTCTTCCATTTTACATTTTTCCACAGCCTTGTGTTGGTCTGTCACAGAAAATCCCCCAAAGCACAGCAAACTTTGTTTTTCTAACATGACGAAATGTGGAAAAGTTGGTGAAAAAGAAGCCGCGTTTGGCAAAAACACAAATCTGTGCTGAGCCAAAACGAGTCAGTTTTGCATGATCTCCGAGATGACCAATGCGACGGCTTCCTGCTAAACAGGGGGGCTCACAAGCATTTGGTCACTGATCCCCTAAGAGCCCCTGAGGGATCAACACACCAACTGATGCTACAGCCATCATCTTCCCATTAAATGCTCTGGTTAGTTCGGCTTTATTTTCTTTTCAGTCCAAATGTAAATTATGTTTTTTTCTCTCTTTTACAAAAACAAGCAGACTAGAAGTGGAGATAATCCCGCTGATGCCTGTTACTGCAATCTCCCAATGGAAAACAGTTGCTGGGGTAAATTAAGGTTTGCGGCTTGCATTGTTAAATATTTCTCACAAAATATTCCCGGGTGTATTTTCCAATTTCATTTCCTCTGCATGAAAAAAAGAAAGAGCTGACAGACACCTGATGTATTAACGGGCATCCATCTATCCAAGTGCGAGACTCTCAGCTGAACTTAAATCATCAACGGCCCTGAGCTGATGCTTAAGATGTTTTGAATACCGTTTCTATCATTTTTGGCGCTGAGCTGTGCACCCACTGGAAATCGACTTGATGGATAAGTCACAAGCGACGGCAAAATATTTTCAGTTTCAATTTGAACATGTCCAATGTATCACCCTGAAGGAAATCAAACAGAGTGAGGGCAGGCCTGCTGGCGGCAGCTATGAATCCTCGTGGGTTCAGCCTATTTCATACCCTCATCTAAGACTCGGCTGGTCTTTCATACGGATAAGCTCTAGCTGAGTCACAAGTACACAAGAAAAAAAAAAATTTAATGGTGTGAGTAGAGAAACGTGAAAATAGCGGTTATGAATCGGCCAGGGCCTGAACTTAACCACACATACACTCTGCAGGGACACACACACTCGTTTTTTCTGCTTTCATGGTTGAAAATTAGTCCAAGGGATTAATTTCTCAGGTATTAATAAGTTTGCAGCAAAGATGTGACAACACAAATATTTTCAGAGCTGCAACATTTGCATTTTTCATTATACTTCCTAGTTTTTTAATCATTTAGTCCACAAGAGGTAAGTAAACACCATATTACTTTTGCTAATGAATAGTAAGGAATTTTGAATATTCACAGAAATGTCATTGTTTATAATTTCTCACCAGTAAAGGTGACATTTTAATCTATTATAATTAACAGAGATTGATCTAATCACACAGTCAGCTAATCACAGTGGCTGAAGATTATATCAGTAAGGCAACAAAAGTCTATAAAAATTAAGAAGGTTGTTTGAGATGAAAAAATATATAAATGCAATTATTCAATATACATGTTTACAACAGCAGTAAATATTACAATCTGGTTTTTTAGATCAGTTACAAGCTGAGTAAACTGAATTTTAAAGACTAAAGGAGAATCAAACTGAACAACGTAAAAATGCAGCATTTTCTACTCAAACACATAAAGAATATTTTCTGTCAAAACAATTCAAAATCATTTCTACATTTAAAAATGTCTTGGATTGACCATTGTCACATGTGAGCACAAACTAGAAGAATGGATTTGCTTTTTTTTTCCCCAGCAGTCGTCAGCAGGGCTAATCACAAGCTGTGAAGGAGTTTATCTCACATGAATGCAAAAGAAAATGTATGCAGTTCAAATAAAACTGATTAATAAAAACAAATAATGATCACTATGTAATATTATTTACAGCATGATTTACCATAAGAACTTTTTGTCCTATTAGGTACAAGAGTGTTGACAGATTGTTGCAAGAATATAGAATTATTAAATAATATTGTTGCAGAAAATTCAAATATAATCATAACTTAAATTAATCAGAGAAGGTAAATCCTTGTTTCATTCCTTTATCTTATTTCAAACAATAGATCATTTTTATCTCAACCCCCATTTTTACAACCAAATTCATGTTTCTTTTATTAGGAAATCTCAGTTAGAAAATATAATCCTACTAAATTTTCAAAGTAAAATTGCTACCCATAATTAGGCGGATGCACCTACCTATGGTTTCGAAACTAATTAAGGCCACAATCTTATATGTCCAGGTTTTGTGTTTAAACGCCACCCACGACCCTTGCAGTGCCGGTACATACAGCGACATATAAATGGTGCGGACCCCACCTTTTCAACTCTTTAGTGAACGTGGAAACACGCAGGACGGACTGTGACCTACCTGCAGCCGTTGCGCTCTTAAATGGCCAAGTGTTGATGACCAGCGGTAACGAGGTATGTCCAAACCGAACATACAGCATTAAAAAGAACAAATGGAGCGATAAATGCATTTTTCCCTGTTCTGTTAACTTCTAGACACCAAAGCATGAAGCTGTCAGGTGACAGTAAACCACAAATAAAGAGGAGATTTCAAATAGAAGTCGCCTTAAAGAGAACTTCTTCTCTTGTAATTGTCAGGATGTTGCATATAGACTTCCTTGTTGTGTCACATGCTGAGTGGGCGGGGTCGGCATTAAAGGGACATTACACATCTTTCTTCAACACGCATTCAGTAGATTTGACTTACAAAATTAGATAGAAGACAGTCTGGGTTTAAAAGTATAAAAGAAACAATTTTGCATATTTGCACAGTTATAAAAACAGACTGCATCCTGCATTTCTGAATCTCCACACAGTGATGCATTAAAAAGGAGAAGGACATTTCTGTCCCATGGACAGTCCTTCAACAAGCTGATCCTGCACCAGTTCCAAATGAATACTTTGATCTAAATTTACCTGACTTAATATGTCAATATCTGCAGAGATTACCTTCATGTTAATCTCTGCTTAAAGGGAGATCATAGCCATCATAATATTCTGCATCCAAATTAACCTAAGACATTGCTGTAATTTTTCTGTTTTCGTTGAAAAATACTTAAATTTACACATATTTCTGATTTGTTATTAATATTTGTTTTTAGTTAGTTTTTATCATATATGCATAGAGAGAGGTTAAATAAGGCAAAACTTACATCTATAGTTGTATTTAAAGCAGAATTGCTAACATTTCCATTGGTGCTTCTCTGTTTTTTTTCTTAGAACTGTTATGTTGTAAATTCTAACATTTGTAAAATTTTGCTGGACACAGACCTCCTCTCATATTAACTTACTCGACAAATGGCATCCACTTTTTCATATAGGTGCACATCCTTTTGACTTGCTTCAGAGGGCACGCTCATTATTTACACCAGCATGCTCCAAGCTGACCACTTAAAAGGTGCAAAGTGAAACCTTGCTGTGCTGCTGGCAGATTGGGATCTCCGTGACTCCTCTCAAGGGTTTAATTTACATTGGAGACGGAAGGAAACCAAGGTAAGTATTTGCTGCATGTGCTTTTGTAGATGTTGGATGGTTTGTTTGTACTTGGCAAATGTCAGCAAGCTGAATAAGCGACCGTTGTTGGCTATTGCTCACATCATTTTCTGTTTTTTTTTTTTTTCTGCTCTGTTTGTAGCTTGAATCGTATTATGAATGAATATAATTTCTTACGGTTGTCCTTAGGATTGTTTCATAGTTGATTCAGTGCCTGGCTAAATCTGCACCACCTCTTTTGGATGTGCATCATTTCATGGGATCACATTTTTGCAGAAAAATCTACAAAAACATTGTGGGGTTTTAGGTTATAGCAAAATTTAAATATGTATTATTTCACAAAAAATGTTGGATACTTTCACACATAAGTTTGTACTAATTATTACTCTGTTTAATTAAGTATTATTGCCAAAGCAGAGCATCTGAAAAACAAACTGCTTTGTCTCACACTCACTCTGACCTCATGAAATTGACCTGCAGTTCTAATGTAACTTATTTTGGAGCATGCAGTGGAGCAACCAAAAACTGCTCCAGTAAGAGTAGCACAACTTTAACGTCTTTTTAATCAATCTGATAATAAGGTATTTAGCAAAAGGACAACTCAAGTACTAACTGACCAATTGCTCTACTGACAGATTGTGCTGTAATTTACTGCATGAAACTGGAATGAATAGACTTAACTTGAACTGAATTAACAACATAAGTCTTTCCATTTCTGCTTTGTTGTGATTTTATGTTTCTGATATTTTTACCATTTGATTAATCTAAACAAAACATCAACAGTTTTGATTTACTATGAAATGTGAGTCAAATAGGAAACTTTGTTGTTACCTATTTGTTTTTTTTTTAAATACACTACCCAAAATGCATAAACTGCTTTCATTTACCTAGAATGTGTTTTTTGTCCTCAATTGTCCTAATTTGTTCTTGTGTAAAATGTAAGGTTGGTAACTAATTTTGCTGTATCCTGCATCACACTCCATGAATGTTTTTAGGGAACTGTGCACCTGACAATGGATCTATCGATGCAGAAGAAATTATACATCAATACCATTCTGATTTAGAATTATATTTCAATTTTCTGATCTTCCAAAAAAAGAGAAGGATATTACCAAAAGCACTAACATTTGGTCCAAGGCTGCAGTGCATGACTAAAACTTTAAAGGAGACAGTTAAAACGTAATATTCAAGTGGAAAAAAGTGAAAGAAACTTTAGAATTACTATCATTGTCAAACACTTAAACGAATAAAAGAAAATCAGCAGTAATTTGGGGTTGTGGGGGATTGTCTTTGTTCATAGTAAGGGTTAAAAAGGCTGCCTAGACAGCTTAATGATTGGACTCTGAAGAAGTGGACTGGGTCATTTGGTTTGATGAGTTCAGATGTTCTCTGCTCTGCCATGATGGGTACTGCCAGTCTCCAAACTCATGGAATCAGTGTTATGATCCCAGCTATCTTATATTATTCTATATTATTTTGTTGGCTTTGTTTTCTTTGCTG